AATAAACTACATCCGCGTCCTGGGTAAGACGATAAACTACATCCGCATTCTGGGTAAGACGATAAACTACATCCGTGTCCTGGGTAAGACGATAAACTACATTTACTTTCTAAGTAAGACGATAAACTACATCCGACTGCAAGGCCTCTGATCAGAAGATTTTGAGGAGTGGTAGCACTTGTCATGGTCTCAGCTATGAGCAAATAGTTACCCCCACTCCAAAAAAGGGGTCAAAATGCCATGAAAGTATAAGAATAGTTTTTAATACCAACAATACATTTTTTAAAAAATCTTTCACAGACGAAACATTGCAAGCCTCTCGCTACTGTATATATCTAGCCATGAACTATATAAAAACGAACACCAGGAATTGCTTTCATATCGCTAGTCACGATGAACAGATGTCCCCTTGAGGAGGTACCACGGTTTCAAGTGGAATTCCTATATAGGATCCATCGCTAAAGATACAAGTAAAACGTTCGGCTCCATGTACCGTTCCAGTAAGAACCTGACCACTTATCGTTTATAAGAGCCAGATTTGGCCGAAAATGGATTACTGTTACCATATTTAGAGCGGGAGCTGCCCAGGCCTCAGTTTCTAGTTTTGACAAAATTCAAAAGCGTCTCTGAGTCCTTGTTGGGGAAGAATTATTTTTCACCCTCCAACCTCTCTCTCTCACAGGCGGCATGTGGTGAATCTCTCACTGCTCTATTGCTTCTAAAATGGGAGGAGCTTGGATGAACTTCATCTCCTACAAATAACAAAACCTACAAATAACAGAAAGGGCCTCAAATATATAGTAAATTAATATAAGATTATAGTGGACATAAAGTGGGGAGTTAGTTTTCTATTGTTATTAAATAATAAACGGATCCCCCATTATTAGACCAAAACACATAACCTCAAGTGGAATTCCTGTATACAATTCATCTCTAAAGATGCAAGCAAAAGGAACGGCTCCCTGTACCATTCCAGGAAGAACCTGACTCCTCATCCTATCCTCTATATTTATAAGAGCCAGATAAGACCAAAATTATTAACGGCCAGTCCTTAGGGATCAATTCTTGAATCAACCCTCTTTTTGATTTACATAAAAGATCTACCTAAGTATATACTCTGATCATTTGTAAACGTCTATGCCGATGATACGAGCGCAATCTAAACGTCTTGAAGATCAAGGACTAGAATCTGACCCCTCTTCCGATCTAGCAATAATTTCCCAGTAGGGAAAAACAGGCCGGTTACATTCAATGCTTCTAAAATCCAAACTGGTTACCTTCCATCACTGCCAATCAGACCCCGAACTACCGCTAGTCACGATGAAAGGATATTGGGCCTTAGACTCACACCTGACCTCAAGTGGAATTCCTATATATATATTGATATCTCGGATTATCGCCAGTCAGGATGAAGGATGTCCCCTCGAAGAGGCATCGTTCCTTGAGATAATATCACATCTGACCTGAAGTGAGACTCTTATATACGATCCATCTCTAAAGATACAAGTAAAATGATCGGCTCCCTGTACTGCTCCAGTAAGTACCTGACCCCTCATGCTTTCCTTTAACTTAGCCAGATCATCATTAATGATTATTTATAAGATCCAGATGCATCAGAAAGGTCTCAATACCATCAATGTTGCATTTCGCGAAAAGATCAGCATTGGGTACCCTATCGTCAGAATTATAGCCACACACAAAGTGGAATTCCTATATACAATCCATCTCTAAAGATACAAGTAAAATGATCGGCTCCCTGTAGTTCTCTAGAAAGTACTTGGCGCTTAATCCTATCCTCTACCTTTATAAGAGCCAGATAAGACCGGAATTATTAACGGCCAGTCCTCAGGGGTTACTTTTTGGATCAACCCTCTTTTTGATTTACAAGATGATTGGCTCCATGTACCTTTCCAGTAAGTACCTGACTACTTATGCTATCCTCTACGTTTACAAGATCCAGATTTGGCCGAAACTGGGTTACTGTTGCCATATTTGGGGCCGGAGCTGCCCAGGCCTCAGTTTCTAGTCTTGACAAAGTTCAAAAGCGTCTCTGAGTCCTTGCTGGGGAAGAATTATTTTCCAACCCTCTAACCCCACCCCCCGTCTCTCACAAACACAGGAGGGGGATGTGGCTAGTCTCTCACTGTTCTATCGCTTCTTCAATGGAAAGTGCTCGGACGAACTTAGGAGATGAAGTCTCCGCCATCGTCTGACCTCACGTCTAGGACCCGCCATACCATTTACACAACCTTGCCAACCGAACGATCCTTTGTAGCCCAGCGGTCAAGGCACGTCAGCGTAAATGACGGTTCCGTATAGGATGCAGCTTCGAATCCTGTCAAAGGACGAATATTTTTTGTATATTAAAATTTCTCGACATTCAGGCCGGTAAATGTTATTTAATACTGTTTATTATAAAACAGAGCATTTACTTAAATACTTGTATCTATAAAAAGAACGTTAAACATAAAAATGTCTTTAATAAATAAATTGTCGGACTTTGTCCATTTCTTAATATATGACGTCATTTGTTTACATTTGATACGCCATGAGCAGTTATGAATGTACGAGATTCATAGAAGATTGAAGTTTATAAGCAGTAAATTCGACCTTACCTACCGAACGCTCCTTTGTGTCCGAGACGGTAAGGCACGTCAGCGTAAATGACGGTTCCGTATAGGATGTAGGTTCGAATCTTGTCAAAGGACGAATATTTTCTATGAAAATTTCTCGGACATTCAGGCCGGTAAATGTTATTTAATACTGTTTATTATAAACAGAGCATTTACTTAAATACTTGTGTCTATAAAAAGAACGTTAAACATAAAAATGTCTTTAATAAATAAATTGCCGGACTTTGTCCATTTCTTTATATATATATATATATATATATTGTTCTGGAAAATTAATAATAAAAACTAATTATTATATTGTTTATTGGAATGGTTGGCAAAACATCTGCTAATTGCCAATTCATTCAAACTTTATAAAATGGTAAATAATAAGGATTTCCTTAGAGTTGGTTCACATATTTTAATAATTTAGTAAATGTTTATAAATTTCTAAATAAAAAATATAAAATAAATGATAAAAATTGAAGTGCATAAGTTTTAATTGGATTAGTTTTTAGAATATTGTAAATATAAAATTATTCTTGTAAATAAAAAAATCTAACAAATAAACAGTGTTTACTCATTTTCATATGTTCAGGTTTTATTACAATTCTAATAATCACTTTTTGAAACAATAAACATTGCTGAGGAGTGAAGGTAGTTAAAATAATAGCGGTGTCAAAGGAAAAAAATGTATTTTTGATACTCTGTATTTTTTTGCCGGCATGGTGGTCACGGGTCTCAATTCTTCAGCAAGTTGGCGAGAGAAATCCGGTTTGAACCAAGTATTATATCTAATTGTCAACTGATTTGAATTTTATAAAATAGTAAATAAGGATTTCCTTATGGTTCGCACATTTTAATAATTTAGTAAATGTTTATAAATCTATAAATAAAAAAATGTTTTCATATTTATTTCTTTATGAATTGGGAAATGATAAATATTGCATTGCATTTAATTTAAATTTTAACAGATTTTAGAATGTTGTAAATATAAAATTATTCTTGTAAATAAACAATCAAATAAATAAACAGTGTTTAATATTTTTGTTTTTAATTCACAAGAACAAAGAAAACGTATAAATTCATTTTCACATGTTTAGGTTTTATTACAATTCTAATCATAACTTTTTGAAACAATAAATATTGCCGAGGAGTGAAGGTAGTTAAAAACAATAGCGGCGTCAAGGGAAAAACCGTATTTTTGACAATCTATTTATTAATTTATTTCGGGAAGGGTGGTTCAAGTTTGTCCGATTTTCTCTGGTGATTGGTACTGTATAATCACGGATCTCTATTCTGTTTTTCTTTTTTTTAGTAAATGTTTATAAATTTATAAATAAAAAATTATTTTCATAAATTATTTCTTTATAAATTGGTAATATTCCATTAGTTCTAATTGGATTAGTTTTTAGAATATTGAATTTAGAAAATTATGCGTTTACTCATTTTGATATGTTTAGGTTTTATTACAATTCTAATAATCACTTTTTGAAACAATAAACATTGTCGAGGAGTGAAGGTAGTTAAAATAATAGCAGTGTCAGGGGAAAAACGAATTTTTAATTCGCTGTATTTCTTTTTTATTTTGCGGGCATAGTGGCCCAAGTTTTTGATAATGGATATTGTACAATCACGGGTCTCTATTCAATTCTAATAATCAGTTTTTGAAACAATAAATATTGCCGAGGAGTGAAGGTAGTTAAAATAATAGCGGTGTCAAGGAAAAAACTGTATTTTTGACACTCTATTTATTAATTTATTTATTTCAGGAAGGGTGGTTCATGTTTACTCCATATTGTCTGGTGATTGGTAATGTATAATCACGTATCTCTATTCTGTTTTATTTTATTTTTTAAATTAAATATTTATAAATTTATAAATAAAAAAAATATTTTCACATTTACTTCACTATAAATTGATAAATGATAAATACTATATTGTATTAGTTTTAATTGGATTAGTATTTAGAATGTTGTAAATAGAAAATTATTCTTGTAAATAAAGAATCTAACAAATAAACAGTGTTTACTCATTTTCATATGTTTAGGTTTTATTACAATTCTAGTAATGCCTTTTTGAAACAATAAACATTGCCGAGGAGTGAAGGTAGTTAAAATAATAGCAGTGTCAAGGGAAAAACCGTATTTTTTTTTTTTTTTTATTTCAGGCTTGGTGGTCCATTTTCTCTGATGATCGGTACTGTATAATCACGGATCTCTATTCTCAGTAAGTTGGCGAGAGAAATCCGGTTTGAACCAAATATTATATCTATAGGAAATGGAATAAATAGACGGACGCTGGCTGCAGGCGAAATTATCATTTATCAAAGAGCGTTTTGATCGGAGAGTCCTTGACAAAAGGTGGCAGTATAGAAAATAAATCTTTCTACTGCGACACTAAAAGGAATGAAGAATCCAGAGTCAAACGTTTCGGACCTGAAACATCAAAATTGATGAGAGTTTTCAGGATCTCTTTAGCCATACACCCGCCCTCTCCTCGTCCCCGTTTCCAACTGATGATAGACAATCTATTGCGGATAGATTGATGTTATGGTTAACGAGGCAATTTATCAAGGCATAAGTGCTGAGTAGTCGCTTCTTTGCTTTCTTTGAGGCCCTTTTTCGGTCTTCTAAAATGACCAGCGACCAAATGAATTTATCATGAGTTCCTTTCTGCATCGATGGCTATCACTGGTTAGATTGGCCTGTGGTGGTGGTGGGGGGGTAGAGATTTAAACAAACTCGGATAATGATATCGTAAAGTTGCCAAAAATTTGGGGTCAAAGACGTGTTTGAGTTCAGTTATTTAGAAACTTAATAAATTTATCAAAAAATCTTGACAGGCAGCACATATAAATGAATATATATAGATACATTCATACATACATACATATATATATATATATATATATATATATATATATATATATATATATATTAGTACACAATAAAACCGTGCAACGTCCGAATTACCCTACAGGAAATCAATTATTTCACAGTCATAAACCTAATATATATATATATATATATATATATATATATATATATGGGTGAGTGAGTGTGTTTATGTACAGACACACTGGACTCCCCTGTAATACAGTTTATAATTTAAAAACAAGGATCATAACATTTATCGAGTTGTTTGTGTGATAATGCATTTTAGAATTTAGTTAGAATTTTTGAATTCGCCATTTTATCTCTAATTTACTTTTTTGTATGAATGATTCATTGCAATATATATACATACATACATACATATATATATTTATATATATATATATATTATTATTATTATTATTATTATTATTATTATTATTATTATTATTTTAAATATGGTATTCCAAAAAGTACAGTGTTTTTTCTTGCCTTATTAAATTGTAATATACGGAAAAATATTTGTGAATATCAAAGGATTGTGATAAAAAACAGACATAATGTTTGTAATTTATTCAGACACACACACACACACACACACACACACACACACACACACATATATATATATATATATATATATATATATATATATATATATATATATATATATATATATCATTGAATAAATTATAAACATTATGTCTGTATTTTCTTTTGTCTGCGTATTCTTACTCTGACCTGAACAATGAGTTTTACCGGGATTCTATCCTCTTTGGAATCTATCTATCTATCTATCTATCTATCTATCTATATATATATATATATATATATATATATGTGTGTGTGTGTGTGTGTGTGTGTGTGTGTGTATGAGAGAGAGAGAGAGAGAGAGAGAGAGAGAAAGAGAATTAATCCTACAGCATGATAGTGATCAACTAGGAAACGTTTAACAATCTAACATGTTTCCCTTTTATTAAGGATTCATCAGAGAATGAGATATGGAGAGAAAAAATCCTAGAATTTTTTTTTCTTCATATCTCATTCTCTAATAATTAGGATGTGATAGTGATATAACTCTCTTAGTATTTAACCAACAGCCGGAGGGAGAAGAAGATGATTATTTGCATTATTCGGACTATTATCCTCATCTTTGTCGCGATATTTATTACAACGTTTTGGCCGTTGTACACTCCGGCCTTCTTCAGGTGGTTGGAATGTCGAATTTAACCCTTTATTTCGCTCACTAGGGTAGACTGTTCTAATTCCACGTGCCATTTTTTTTAATGGGTATCATTTATCAGTTATCTCCTGTTAATTTCCTTCTGAAAGTTCTCCACTGCCTTAACCAGGTACTGAACTCACACTCTTTGGGTCTTGTCACTGAATCTTCAAGGATACATGACACAGTGGATAAAGGCGTTGGTTAGATCCGGGGACAGGACCCAAAGAGTGTGAGTTCAATACCCGGTTAAGGCAGTGGAGAACTTTCAGAGGGAAATTAACAGGAGATAACTGATGACTGACATCCATTAAAAACATGGCACGTGGAACTAGAACAGTCTACCCCAGTGAGTGAAATAAAGGGTTCAGTTCGACATTCTAACGACTTGAACAAGGCCGGAGCGTACAACAGCCGAAACGTTGTAATAAATATGGCGACAAAGATGAGGATAATAGTCCGAATAATGTAAATAATGTACATAATACCTCACCTCAGAAATATAGACAGATACTGGAGAAGAAGTAGATTAATACAAGTAGATCTGGAACTCAGCAAAATTCTGAGTCAGTATCCATTATACCACCCACACGTCCAAGCTTACAGCACCTGGTATACCCAAGCGGTCACTCATCTAGGTACTGACAAGGTTCGACGTTGCTTAACTTCAGCGACCGTACAGGAATCAGTGTTTTAAATTGATATGGAACTAAGCTCATTATACCACCCACACGTCCAAGCTTACAACACCTGGTATACCCAAGCGGTCATCCATCTAGGTACTGACAAGGTTCGACGTTGCTTAACTTCAGCGACCGTACAGGAATCAGTGTTTTAAATTGATATGGAACTAAGCTCATTATACCACCCACACGTCCAAGCTTACAGCACCTGGTATACCCAAGCGGTCATCCATCTAGGTACTGACAAGGTTCGACGTTGCTTAACTTCAGCGACCGTACAGGAATCAGTGTTTTAAATTGATATGGAACTAAGCTCATTATACCACCCACACGTCCAAGCTTACAACACCTGGTATACCCAAGCGGTCATCCATCTAGGTACTGACAAGGTTCGACGTTGCTTAACTTCAGTGATCGTACAAGAACGGCTGTTTCAACGTGATTTGGCCGTAAGCTGAATGAATTTTGAGGGAAAGCACTTTATTTGTTTCAGCCGTACTATCGCGGCTGAATTCTCACATTCGCTTTGTTGTTTGGATCCAACTTGGCTGATGATTTCACAAAGATATATGAATTGTTTCACTGACTGTAATTGGTGTCCTCATGGGTTCACCACTAATTCTCATCAGCTTTGTTTTCTAGGCGTTTATTTTTATGTCAGATGTGGAAGCTTTTTCATTGAGACGCCTCAGCACAGTTCAGCCAGTTCATTTTCCCCTCTAACCAGCCCCCCCCTGTCATTTAGTACAGAAGGCTTAAAATCAATAGAAGGAGAAAAAAAAAACTTGAATATTCCAGATAGATAGATAAATAGAAAGATGATCAATATATATATATATATATATATATATATATATATATATATATATATAGAGAGAAAGAGAGAGAGAATGAAAAGACTGAAATAAGATAGATAGATAGATAGATAGATAGATAGATAGATAGATAGATAGATAGATAGATAGATTTGAAAAGACTGATATAGATAGACAGACAGACAAACAAGATAGATAGATATGAAGAGACGGGGATAGATAGATAGATAGATAGATAGATAGATAGATAGATAGATAGATAGATAGATAGATAAACATGTACTGACTGAGATATATTACGTTCACTAGGCAGAGAGCGAGAGAGAGGGGGAGAGAGACAAATGAATGTCTGTTATAGATAGATAGATAGATAGATAGATAGATAGATAGATAGATAGATAGATAATAAACATGTACTGACTGAGGATACATTACGTTCACTAGGCAGAGAGAGAGAGAGAGAGGGAGAGAGACAAATGAATGTCTGTTATAGATAGATAGATAGATAGATAGATAATGAAAACACTGAGATAGATAGATAGATAGATAGATAGATAGATAGATAGATAGATAGATAATGAAAACACTGAGATAGATAGATAGATAGATAGATAGATAGATAGATAGATAGATAGATAATGAAAACACTGAGATAGATAGATAGATAGATAGATAGATAGATAGATAGATAGATAAGAACCAACTGAAATAGATAGATATGAATAGAGTAAGAAAGATTGATTTAAAACAACTGATATAGATAGATAGACAGAGACAAGATAGATAGATAGATAGATAGATAGATAGATAGATAGATAGAAATTTCTCGACTGAACATTTCCTTTTCAT